TTTTTTTTTTGGTTAAATAATGAAATGATTATGTGCTTATGTTAGTTGGACCACTTTTTAACTTTGTTTTGCAATTTCTCCTGTTGCATGGTCATGCTGAAAGGAGACTTCTGTTAACTTGCTCTTCTGCTTTCCTGACCACGCCGATTTGGCAGCCCTTCACTGCATCGGTGCAGTCCTTAGCATTAGGAAGGCATAGAAGCAACAAGAAGATACACAGATAAAAGCAACTAACTCTTGAATTCTCCAGCTTTTTTGTAAGTTAGAAAGAGAATAGGAGAATTCTTAATTCACGGCAAACATTTATGATCCTCTTGGAAATAATATTAAAGTAGATTTTTAGGACACTGCATGAGAGTTGTGCTTTTTAACATAGTCCCTCTATTTGCATTTTTAACAAAATGATGACAATTAAGTTAATCATGTAGGTGACAAACTGTACCGTTTTATGAAATGACCTTAAAAAGCAGGGTCTTGCATTGATAAAAGGAAACATCTTGACAACTGTTTTATAGGCGCAAGTTTTGGATGATGCAACTGCTTTTATCTTTCCTCTAACAGCATCTGATACCTTGTGCAACTTCATTGCTAAGTTCCTTCTCCCTTTCTTCTCCCCACTCTTTCTTTATTCCCCCACCCCCCTCCTTAGACACAGAACCACACATGCAGCTACCCCGGGTGGCACAGCACCACCATTGCCGACCACAGCAGACCTCATGGAGACAGCGCACCTGTTTCCTGTTTGGAAGAACACCACTCCACTCCATCTCTGCCTGTGGATCCTGGCTCCTTACCTGAAGAAAGCGCCTCTCCAGCAAGGTGCATGATCGTCCACCAAGGAGCCATTCTGGATAATGTTAAGAACCTCTTAGAATTTGCAGAAACACTTCAGTTTATAGATTCTGTAAGTAGAATTGTTAAGGCAAGTTAATATTTTTAGAAGGGGAATTAGGAAACCTATTTCTCAAATCATTGCCATTTTCTGTTATTGGCATATATTAATGTAAAGTTAAAAGTATGATTTTAGTCTCTGTGTGTTTGCTTTTTCAAAGATCTGACTTCATAGACTACCCAGATAAAAGGTAGCATTCCACGCATTTCCTTCAAAATGCATGGTTTTTAAAGATAGTGAAGTTAATGACCTGTAAGTAGAGCTTGGGTTTTAGGGATGATGTTCGAGTTATTTTTAACCTTTTACTTTGCTTCTTTGTGTTTCGCTAGAATTGTGCTTTCCTTTTGGATAGCACATTAAGAATTATGTTTACTCAGAGCTTAAATAAGCAATCTTTCAGTGTATTTGAAGTGCTAACAAGTTTATTAAATGGTGTGTGGCTTTCTCCCCAAAACATCGATTATGGATTACCATTCCCATTTGGTTCACTGAGATGAACCATCTTTCGTGAAACAAACTTGAGTTCAGCACCTCAAAAGCAGACACTCAATTCATTTTCTTTGTTTCCCAGTTGATTAAAAAGCTTTTATTGTATACCCATGAGACGGGGTGAACATTGCCAATTGTGCCATGTAGAAAAGGGTTTTTCTTTTCTTTTCTTTTCTTTTTTTTTTTTTTTCTTTTTTTTTCTTTTTTTTTCTTTTTTTTTCTTTTTTTTTCTTTTTTTTTCTTTTTTTTTCTTTTTTTTTCTTTTTTTTTCTTTTTTTTTCTTTTTTTTTCTTTTTTTTTCTTTTTTTTTCTTTTTTTTTCTTTTTTTTTCTTTTTTTTTCTTTTTTTTTTTTTTTGCTTTAGATGACATGCAAATGCTAGAGTACCAGGAGGTCCCTACAGCACTCATGTAGGACCAGCCTTGAGGCAGCGTGGCAGACATTCTATGCAGTGCACCCGAACAATTGTTAATCCTGAAGCTGTTGCTCAGGAAGTCAAACAAGCGGGGCAGGTGTTTACCTTGCATTCAGCGTCTCTTTCTCAGTGCTGTGTTTCAGGTGATGGCACACATCATGCACACACTGTCTCAGAGTTCTGCGCCTCCCACATTGTTTCAGGATTCTTCATCATGGTGTGACCTCAGCAGTTTTGAACTCTTTGAAGAAGCAGAATTTTCACCTAGCCAGCATCACGCAGGCAAAGCCCTACAGCTCCAGCAAAGAGAGGGCAATGTGCATAGACCTACAGGAGAACCTAGCACAAGGGTGAACAAACGCAAGTTGAGTGAGGGTTCAATTGACTTGCTCAAGCCCTTACCTCCTGCGAGGCACAGCACAATCCCACTGGTCATCCTTCGAAAAAAGCGGGGCCGGGCCAGCCCCTTAACCACTGGAGACTCTAGCTCCTTCATACTTGCTGACGTCAGCAGTTCAACTCCCAATCGTTCCCCTGTCAAAAACCTGCCCTTCTCCCCTTCGCAGGTAGAGCACAATTTCTGCACAGCTGTTACTAATTTTCAACAGACAACTGAGCCTTAATAATCTAGAAACTAATCTTTTGGAACAAATGACTAATTACTGTTGCCCTCACTGATTTCGTTCCATTGCTGAATCTAGCTGTTGCTAAGTCATACTGCCTCACAAAGTTTAGGCTATCTGTAGGCCAACTGATGATTTTGTCATAATTCTCTTTTTGGTGATTTGAAAGATGTTTAGTTGCATGAGATGTGCTTCTATTTCCTTCAACACTAGAGTTTAACATTTCTATCCCTTCCTCTTCTCCCACCTCTTCCCTCCCTTTAAAAACTTTAACGGATTTTCTGCCTCTTTTTTCATTTATTGTGTGATTCACTGACCCAAGGGAGGAGGGAATTAAACTATGTTTGGGTTGCAACTAGAAATTTTAAAGTTTTTAATTCATCTTTAAGTGAAAAAGTTTTAAAAGAGGATGAGAAACAAATGCTTAAGGAAAACAACTTATGTTTTAATTTCAGTTTCTCAACATTGGCTCTTTTCAGTTATGCCATACTGTTTTATTAGCACAGTTTTTGCCAATGAATATTTTTATTTCATATAGTATTTTTTAAAGACATGGAAATTTTAATTCTTATCAGAGACTTCTGTTTCTTAATTATCAAAATAATTTGAAGTTAATAGATAATTTGGCACTTTAAACATTTTTCCAATTATGTTCATTGAGTTTGTTTTAAGAACAACTTTAAGTATGAACAAATGATGCACTCACCAAAAAAAAATTATCTTGTTTTTTTGCTTGTATTTTTCCAATTGTGTTCTAGAGAATATTAGTTCTGTAAGACTTTAATAGATGTTCCAGAAAATCATCTAACTATATAAGCATTTAAGTTTGGGAAACATTGAATCAAACAGTTACAAATTGGTTTCTTTACTGCAGAACCTCTGGGAGTTTTTAATACACCAATGGGCATTGTGAATTTCCAGGGGGAGGTTATGACATGTTTGTTTCCCAAACTTATTTTACCTTGGAATCATTTGAGGAAGGCCTGTATTTTCCCAGAATATTAGCGTTCTGAGAGACAAAGTTTATTATTCAAGAATTTTCCACACAACATAAACCTTCTGTAATAATGGTCCATAGATCTTTAAAGAGAGAAAGCAGGTTATGAAAGAAAAACAGTAATTACTTTCCAAAAAATCACTTTAACGTTTTTAATCTTAATAAAGAGTGCATCTTGTTTACAGCCAGCCATGCTACCATGAACAAGCCCGATCTAGTCTGATCTTGGAAGCTAAGCAGGGTCAGGCCTGGTTAGTACTTGGATGGGAGACCACCTAGGAAGACCAGGTGCTGTAGGCATTAAAAATTTAAAAAAAGGGATTGTAAACTGACAAGGTCTTTGCAATTTGTGAGGTCAACCAAGGGTAGCCTTGCCTAAAAAATAAAAATAAATAAAAAAAAGTGCATCTCATTCTCTTTAATTGTGAGAATATTTTCTTAGGATTTTGCAAGTTTTTCAGCATTGACACTAAATTTTATTTCTTTGAAATAACACTCCAAATCTTGGGTGCTCAATTAAAATAAAACAATACCTTTGTGGCTCTACATGTTGTTATCTTTATTATTTCATAGTGGGTCAGTAAAACATACTTGCTTGTTATCAGAGTGTGATTTTTAAATTGGGCTGAATAAAGAATCACTGTTTAAGTAATTTTTTTTCTTCCCATATATAGTTCTTAAACACTTCCGGTAATCATGAAAACTTAGACTTGGAAATGCCTTCTTTAACTTCTACCCCTCTCAATGGTCACAAATTGACTGTTACAACACCATTTCATAGAGACCAGACTGTGAAAACTCAAAAGGAAAATACTATGTAAGTTCTTGGTTCAAGAATAAAATTATTTATCTTATTTACTTATATTTAATGAATGGAATATAGTCCCCAAATGTCTAATCTATTTGTATGTATATAATCTACTTGTATGTACATAATCATGTGTATTCCACACTGAATATGTCTGTCCTGGGCATGTTGCAACTACCTAGAGGTGGAAGGTGCTAGGGTAAACTAAATTACTTTTTGTAGTTCGCTTCAAAATTTCCTGTATCTGTAGAGGTAGTTATCATATAACTTCTCCATTCAAATTTTCTGTTTGTTCAATAAGGCCTTTTCTCCTTCACTGAAAATAAGATTTTTAACTTCCTTTTCTCTTGGATTATAAACTTCAGAATAAGTATGATTCTTTACTTAATTCATATTTTTAATCTTATTTTTTCTTTTTGAAATTTATCTATCGGTATGACCTCTTCTAACATCCCCAGGAATATTGTATGATTAGAAGCCAAGGAGTGATTAACCAGTCATTTATAGTCAATAAAAGCTTAACCAATTCAAAGAAATGGCAGAGAACATCAATAATATAAGAGACCTTTAAAAGAAATGCAATCCTATTTCCAAGTACAATAAGTACATTTTAAAAGATGAACATATATTTTCTACCGTGAGCCCTGTTTTAATGAATAGATAAAATTGATTTGTAAATGGCATCAGATCTTCACAATGCTTATGGTCATTATTAAGACCTAGGGCAGTGCATATGTCTTCAGAACGATTAAAGAAAGATGAAAAATATTTTAATGCTCTTAGTTTTAGGAGTACAATATTTTGAAATATTTGAAAATATATGATGTACATACTTAACAATACATGTAGGATTACTCAGCATACTCAATTCCACATCTATAACAGAGTTAATTGTATTCAGTAGAAAAATGTTTAATTTAATAGAGCGATGTAAGGGGCATATGTTCTTTTATATTGAACCAATACTTGTTTTCTTTTTAAAGTTTTAGAACTCCAGCTATCAAAAGGTCAATCCTAGAAAGCTCTCCGAGAACTCCTACACCATTCAAACATGCCCTTGCAGCTCAAGAAATTAAATATGGTCCCCTGAAGATGCTAGTAAGTTTTAGCAAAGTTCTTCTGTTTAGTTTATTAGTTCAGACAGAAATTTTCCTCCGATGCAAACATACCCGTTCTTCTCTTTAGCCTCAGACACCGTCTCATCTAGTTGAAGACCTACAGGATGTGATCAAACAGGAATCCGATGAATCTGGAATTGTTACTGAGTTTCAAGAAAATGGACCACCTTTACTGAAGAAGATCAAACAAGAGGTAAACATGGGATCCTTTGGAAGGAATAAGCTGTGAATCCTGTTCCCTTTGTTCCTCGGGGGCAGTTTGATGTGTCTGGCATCAGCACTGTGTAACAGTTCCACTTTTCATAAGATTTTCAGCCAAGATGCAGTTAAGGGGTACTGCCCGACTGCAGGCATGTAGCCTTTCATTTGGGAAGCTAAGCCACTCCTATCTACTTCATGTTTGAATGGAAAACAGGCTAGAGAGGATAAAGGAAAGAGAAGAAAGCAGCTTTTTTACTATACTTTTTTTTTTTATTACTATTACATAAATGGATACGTGATTGATACATAGATATTTAATTTTCAGATGTCATGGAGAATCGTAATTTAAATTAAAATAGTAGTATCTTTAATTCGTAGTATAAAAGAAAGGGAATCCAGCTTTCAAGGATCAAAATTTTAGCTTGGTGGCAAGAAACATTTCTAACAGGTTAGATAGTGTGCCTCTTGAATTTATTTTCATATAGAGATAAATGTTTAAGAGACTGGCCAGAAATTTACTCTTTTGTTCAGCCTAATTGAAATATAATTGACAAAATAGTAAAATATTTAAAACATAATGTGATGATTTGATATTTGTATACATTGTGAAAGGTGTCTTCAACATTGAGTTTATTATCACATCTATAACCTCAAATATTTACTTCTGATTTTTGCTGAGAACATTTGAATTCTATTCACTTAGCGGATCTCAATTACACAATAGAGTGTTATCAACTGTAGTTACTACGTTATACATTAGATCCTCAGGCCTTATTCATCTTATAGAAATTTACTCTGGAGTATAAATGTTTCATGGGAAGTTCTAGTTCTAGAAACAACAAAGCACTTCCTGTTTGCTTTTAGGTGGAATCTCCAACTGATAAAGCAGGAAACTTCTTCTGCTCAAACCACTGGGAAGGGGAGAGTCTGAACACTCAGCTGTTCACACAAGCATCACCTGTGGCAGATGTGCCAGTAAGTACACGCCCATGTTATGAGATGTTGCTGCCTCACAGAATTGTGTGTGTGGCATGTGGGGCTGCTGTGGATTCTGCTATTCTTGGTGCATAATCTATATATTCTTTCACATCATTATTTTTTATGATATTTAACATTAAACAAAGTTGAGATTTTATTTATGTATTAGAAATAGATTCTGTTCCATTGAAGATTTTTTTCATTATTTACTTTCTTAGGATTTGAGAGTCCTTGCCACTTAGAAAATCTGCTGTATGAATGAATATATATAGTTCTCTGAAAACAGAATGTTAATTTTTACATTAAAAAAATTTACTTATTTATCTTCTAAATATATTTTATCCTTGATAAGTTGTCTCCTGTTTGGTTCTGTGTAGCATGTAGCATAATGCTGACTACGTGTCTATAGTAGATGCCCTTTATAGTACTCAATATTGGATTGCTTCAGTTACCACCATTTTTTAATAGACTTTATTTTTTATAGCAGTTTTCGGTTTACAGCAAAGTTGAACAGACTGTACAGAGATTTCCCATACACATGCTGCCCCACACATGCACAGCCCTCCTCCTTATCAGCATCCCCCACTAGAGCGATACATTTATTACAATTGATGAACCAACAATTATGTATCATTATCACCCAAAGTTCATAGTTCATATTAAGTCACACTCTTAGTGTTGTACATTTTATAGGTTTGGACAAATTTATGACATGTATCCATCATTATTGTATCATACAGGGTAGTTTCACTGCCCTAAAAATTCTCTGTGCTCCACTTGTTCATTCCTCCTTCCCCCCACCCCTCCAGCCCCTGGCAACCACAGATCTTTTTACTATCTTCATGGTTTTGCCTTTTCCAGAATGCCATACAGTTGGAATCATACAATATGTAGCCTTTTCAGACTGACTTCTTTTACTTAATAATATGCACTTTTGTTTCCTTCTACTCTTTTCATGGCTTAATAGCTCATTTCTTTTTAGCACTTAGTTACCACCATTTTTAAAGTTTGTAATTTGTGAACGATTGTCCTTTATGGAGCATCAAAGCTAATAACAATTGCGAATATTTATTCAGTGTGTACTAAATGGTAAGTACTATTCTAAGAGCTTTAGATGCGTTAACTCAATCCTCTCAACCACCTTACAAGGTTGGTAGCATTATCTTTCCATTATACCAACTGGGAAACTGAGGAATAGGGAGTCTTAATCACTTGCTCAAGATTGCTTATCTAATAAGGGGTGGTTCCGGGTTAGAACTCAGAAAGTCCAGTTTTAAATTCCTTTTAACCATTATACTATACTGCCACTAATTTGTATATTCTGTACCAATATACAAAGTAAACGATTCTCTTACCAGAAATTAGTAACTCTTTCATTTTTAGAAGTATGTATTTCGTAATTCGTTTAGCAGATGTTTTTTGCGCTATCTGAAAAAACTATGTAGGACAGCTATTTCAAAATTTTACCTGGCTTTTTGTTTTAGTGATGTTTGCCACATGGAATTAGCGTTAGTACATAGTTGAGCTCTCCTTTTGGCTCATTGGAAAGAGAATTTCTGGCAGATACCTGCATTTTTCCTGCTAATGTTTATCACCTCATAGTAATCTACCCATTATATGGTCAGAATTGTGTCAGCTCTCATATTATCCAACCTTATTTGAATTTCAAATTATTCTCTTTAGAATATTCTTACAAGTTCCGTTTTAATGACACCAGTATCAGAAGATGAAGACAATGTTCTCAAAGCATTTACAGTACCTAAAAACAGGACCCTGGCGAGTCCCTTGCAGGTAATTCTTATTCCTATTCCAATATTGGTATCTTAAAAGTCATTCACTGAAAAATTTAAAAATTTTTTTAAATTTTTTTTTTTTAACATTTTAGACATTGAGGAGTGGTGCTTTTAAATAACTCTTGATGTCCAAAGCACTCCTGAAATTCCTAGTTGCCACTCATATGAGACTTGCTGGAAATTTTTATTAGTGCAGGTTCCCAAAGCATGATAGAGTGAAGCATTTCTTACTGTGTCTGAGACTAAGATCATATATTACACATGTGTCAATATCTCCTTCTGCTTTTAAATATTTTGTGAACAGTTTATTAGTATAGTCTACTTTTTATTCTAAAAATTATTTTTTATGCTCCATTACTAAGCCATCAAAATTCAAACGCTGTTTAGATTTTAAATGAAGTTTGAAATGAACTAGCTAGAAATAATTATGATATATTTCACTATCAGAATAAGAAAGTCATCTGTTAATGTTGTGTGGCTCGCCAGTAGTTGACCATCTGCCGCCACTGGGTTTTAATATCTAAAGAGATTTCCCTTATAATACTGAAGTTGTTATATGTTGATGAAGTACAACAAATTCCAAATTAATCCTGAGCCAGATGTAAATAAGGATGCAAATTTACTCCCCTAAATTATTTAAAGCGGTTCCCAACATTAAATAGCCCAATATCCATCCACCTGCAGAGCCCTCCCTTCTCCCCAGCCCACTAAGCTACAGTGAGGGGAACTTCACGACCCCTGAAGCATTCAGAGAACCCAATTCAGAACTGGGAAGTCATGTTCATACTGTGAGTTAAAGGCATCGCAGTTGGATGGTGTGTGTGCTTTTAGAGCTTGTCCTTGCTTTAAAGGGCTCTCCTATCTTTGTGGTAAACCTTCTCTCTCCAAATCGTAAGACTCTTAAAACTTGCCCTTTTAAAATATTTGTGATATTTAGCATTATTTGGTAAGTAATACAAATACAGCTGGAAGGGCCTTAGGCGAATTTTGTTTCCTAACTCAATCAGATTGTTTTCCTTGTGGCCTCTATCTGCTCCAACTTCTTTGGTGAAAGATGGCTGTTGACCACAGTGTAGATAGCAAGAGTCAGGACTTGCAGGACATCTGGAGTTGCTCCTGAGTTAGGCCTGATTAGCCCGATGTAGAGAAGACGCAGAATATCGCAAAAGATCGGGAGACAAGGAAAAGAATGAAGCACCAACACATAAAGGGGACACAGAAAGCAGGTTAGAAGGATGTCAAGGCAGAGGTAGCTTCTTAAACATTTTACCTAGCTCTGATCCTGGCTCCAGAAAGGAAAGGCTTTCTTTGTTTTTCTTTCCCTCTTCCTTCCTAAAGTAATCAGTCCTTGGTTTCCAGAGCATTAAATTTGACTAGTGTTATTAGTACATTAAGCTAGATTAAGTTTTACATATATTTTGTAACCTAGCCTGGACTTACATTTACAGCAATATATAAAAAGGGCATTCTAAATTTCAAAGAGCAAACATGTAAATATATTTGAGGACAGTTATTACATAAGTAGTTATCATTATGTACGTTGAAATCCCTGATTGTTGTCCTAAAATCAAATCCTGAAAGCTTTTGGCCTAAGTAAGTAGCTGAACATGGTATATATTTAAAACATATAAAATTGGCAAGTTGTCGGTACAGTTGACCCTTGAACAACACAGGTTTGAACTACACAGGTCCATTTTTTTTTAAATAAATGTATAGTCGGCTTCCTGTATGCCTGGGTTTTGCATCCACAGATTCAACCACACTCAGAGCAAAAACAGTATTTTCAATCTGCAGTTGGTAGAATCTGTGGATGACGAGGTCAGACTGTATGTATCAATCTACACCATTTTACGTAAGAGACTTGAGCATCTGTGGATTTGGGTATCTTCAGGTTCCTGGAACCAATCCCCCTGCGGATACCGAGGGATGACTGAGTTTTTGGGGAGTCAAAAGTTATACATATATTTTCAGCTGCACAGAAGTCAGTGCTGCTAACCCCCATGTTGTTCAAAGATCTATTTATAAAAAATAGGTTGCCCCAATTTTTAATGCTATTGCATTTTTAAAAAATCAATATGGAACTTTATTATCAACATATTTATATTTTATTTAATGAAATTGTTCGTTATCTTTGACTCAAAATTAAGTAGTAGCCCTATCTTCTTAATCTATGTTTTCTAGCATATCAATGAGTCATATTTAGCACTCTACAGATTCTTATGTCTGTATACTAAGATTAAGCCATCTATGTACATCACATGGTGAAGGTGATATTTGTCAATCCTACTAAACTAAATAACTGAGACCCAAAAGTTAATCTTAGAGTCAGTGCTTCTGTCTGCACTAGATGGTTTATGCTGCTCAAATATATTTTAATAACCTGCTATAATAGATACCTAATTCATTTTAAGAAATATTCATTAAATGAAAGAATGATACACACCAAATACCTCCTTTGTTTTGTGTCATGGTGACCTAGCTTCCTAAATCATAGAAATACATGGTTTTGAAATGTTTCAACCTTTTGTGATAAATATTGGAAATACATCAAATAAATGTTTAAATATTGCCTATACTTCATATAACCCTTGTTCAGCAATATTTATATAGGTTTTATGTAATTTGGTTATTTTGTTTGTTTAAAACATAATGCTTTATCATATGTTTCCATTGATAATTTGACCTAATTAGGCAGATTAATCATGGATGGTATTATTGAACTATTGTGCCTTTGTTAAATGACCTAGCTGTTCGACCTAAGAGTACTTTAGATAACCTATAATGTTTGTAATTTGTACTTAAATCAAATATTAAGTGAGATTTTAGCCAATCTATATATTTTTATCACAGTGCTTTTAATTAAAACAACTAAATGTGATTCCTAAAATATTTTAATTCTGATACTTCTAAAATATAAAATATTTGCCACTTATAATAGCTCAGTTGATTGTCTATCCATCTAATTATCTAAATAACTTTTTACTTAGCTGCAAAAACAGTTTATTGAAGACTATGGTAATGGCAATTCTGTGTTCTATCATTTCAGTTTTAATCATCCCTGGCTTAATTATGGCAATAACACTTTAGACAGAGTAATTACTGTTTTTGAGGCCCAGATACTAAGCCTGTATGGTTCAGCTTGTAATGTGCATGCATATATATAATTATGTGTAAATTACATTGATATTTCAAAATTAGAAGTGCAAGAAGCTATGAGTTTAACATTTTATTATGATAAATCTCAAACATACATAAAAGTATAGAAAATATTGTATGATTTAGATTTAACAATTATTAACATTTTGCAATGTTTACTTCATTCTTTTTAAATGAAGCATTCTAAAATTCCAGATAATATAACATTTTATCTTACGTATTTTCAGGTATATCTCTAAACATTAGGACATTTTCATATATAACCTAATACTGTTGTCACACATTATTATTAACAATAATTTCTTAATATTCTAATTCTCAGGCTATATTTAAATTTCCCCCATTAATCCTGAAAAGAGTCTTTTTAGTATTTGTTTGATCAGAGTTGAAATAGTTTCACACATTGCATTTGGTTTTTAACTCTCTTAAATCTCTCCTAATCTCTAGACCGCTATTGTCCAATAGAACCTATGCAGTGATGAAAATGTCCAATATGCTGCTCTCCAGTATGATAACCACTAGTCAGTTGTAGCTCTGAGCACTTGTGGCTAGTGCTGTTGAGAAACAGACTTTTCAATTGTATTTAATTTAAATAGCTTTAATTTAATAGCCACATTTGCTTCCTCTCTTCCTAGAACCAACCATTTCCCCAAGGTGCTTTGATGATTTTAGTGAAAATGGTATGTAGAGAAGAAAATCAGGGTGCTAAGTATGCCCATTTGTTGTGTGAGATGTCTTTGAGAAGCAAGGAAATTTTAATAACGCAGAACTCTCCATATATCCCCTAATACACCAATTATAATGCTTATAGAGGCTATTGTTAGCCATTATACACAAATAATGTTATATTTGTTTTTTAAATTATGTATGCTTAATTTTTTTCCAAAAGTAAGTTATAGCCACTGCATAATCTCATAATTATCAGATTTCTTATTTTTTAAGGTGCTTTAATTTTAAATTGTAAAAGCAAACAGGGACTCATAATAAAAATGTTCTGAGACGTTTTTTGATATTTGAGTTTTTTATGTAACTCAGAATGTATGAGATTTTCACATTGGATCATTGTTTCATTTTTTTCCGCATTGCGTGGTGGGTAGATGATCGGAGTCTAGAAGCTTAAAAACGATCACAAGTGAGAGAACAAACATTCAGCCTAGAAAGCTTACAGTTTGAGGCAGGAAAAGCAAATTCACTATGGAATACTGTTCAAAAGTTACCTTGAGAGAGCTACACGTGTGTACGCACACACAGACACAACAGACACACACACACACACACACACACACACACACACTCAGAGCTCCCTCCTCAGCAAAGAGAAAAGAGCTGCCTATTTTTCTCAATGTGCTTTTAATTTGCTTTACATTTTGAAATAAATACATTTTACCACTAGATATCTCTTAAGGTAGACACTTTTCATCAGTAGATCTGAAACTCTACTTAAGTTATAAGCCTTCTGAACTTTTGTATTTTTCTCTTAAATTATAATTTCCTTTTATTCCTATTTAAAACACAAATGCAAAAGATGTGTTCATATGCTTTTTACTAACTCACTTTCCTCTTTTTGCTAACCACAGAATGACAGCCTTAAATTTTAATTTCCTGACTTAGCTTGGCATGGCCTTACTTTTTAAAACAGTGAGTTTAGTTTAAGTAAATTCTCAAGCCATTATTATTTAAACACATTTGCACAGCATCAGAAAATCTTAAAGTATTATTGCAAGCAATTGAAACTCTTTTTCAGTTTCATGTGTTTTTGGATTGATCCAATTTTCATATGAATTACTTACGAATTTTTCAAAAAATAGAGCAAAACCTTATTGCATGATCACCATTGCTGAA